CCCCACCATCTCTTTTTGTTTTGAAAAAGAGCCAAATAAAAATGGCTGTGATCCAGAGCCAAGAATCATTCCGTTGGCTACGGAAACGAAACACTTGGAGAAGCTGTGAAGCATGTGTGCGTTCATAGTTTCTGCTGGGAATTATTCAGTCACATAGCACAGAAGCCTAGCATGGTGATGGTGATAGTGTGTGTGTGTGTGTGTGTATGCACTGTACAGAAAGAGAGAGCAAAATATGAATGTTAGTTTTGCTTGTAATTTGTAGATCACTCCTCCATTATTGGGAATGACGCCTGTTCAGCCATGCCACCTCTGTCTTATCGGCATGGTTAATAAAAAATCCATGCAGAAATGGCATTCTAAAAATATAATGCATTGGGGAGGGAATGCATTAGAGTGATTTTACACCGCTTTAAGGTTTAGGCACACACCTAAACATGTAATAGATAAACCTCCGTCGTGCGAGTGTTCCTTGGGCCACTGGTTTTGGACGGTCAGCTCTCCAAATGTTTAAAAGTTAAAAGCTTAAAAACAAGTACACACTTATTAAAAGGAGGCCAATATTGCACTGAAAATGGTAAACAAGATCGGCACACCGAAAACAGATCCGAAGCAACAAGTCGCAGCAGTCCATTAGGAGAAAAAAAAAAACCCCAACCCTCCTTCCACAGTGAAGTTTCGTCATGAATGTTTCGCCTTGCTGTTGTGGCCCGTCTGCATTTCAAACTCGGTTGGTGGGAAAACGTCAGGTTTCCGTCACTTTTGGCAAAGCACGTGGCAGGAAATCTAAACCCTGGATGTTCTTGCAAGGCTTGCAGTGAAAACTCAGTGGCCCAAGTACAAGAGGAGGGCCTGTCTTTGCACGGTGAGAAAACATAGGCATCTCTGACTCACCGGGCCACTCAGAAGGCGAGGGCCGGATCCTGGAGGCTCTTGCAGCACAGAGAGGCGATACCTGTTCCATGGGTGTGTGACAGGATTGAGAAGAAGAGCCGAGCGGATGAAATTCCTGCCGTGCCTTGTTGCAACACCGCAGGGTTTTCGGGTGGCAGCCGAAGCGTGGAAAAGTAACTTCCCTCCCTTGGGAGAAGAACCAGGAGGCTGGATTGTACCGAGGCCTCCTTTTCCCACGGTGGCCTACCTCCTCCTCCTCCTCCAGCGCAAGACGTGAATGCGCGAGCACCCGGGAATGATAGATTGGGTCCGGAAGGTGCTCAGACTTCTCTGAGAGAGACCCCAAACGTTCCTGCCCCACTCCTGATCTTCTGCGTAGAGGGAAGGGCAGCTACCGTTCCTCCAACTTGTTCCTCAAAACTCACTTTTTTTAAAAAAAATCCAACACAAAAAACACAAGACTTTGGGAATTTGAACCCGGACTGTCACTCCGGAGTGACAGTCCGTCACTCTGTCTGCTACGGCACGCCGCCTAAACGTGTGTAAATAGACGTTTGCTCAGTCTCCGTTGTGTGCCCCTTCCGTGTCTGGTTTTTTAAGAGTATAAATTCCTTCTGGCAAGAGGACGTTTCTTTTTCATAGGTTGTAGCCTAAACGTGTGTAAATAGGCGTTTGCTCAGTCTCCATTGTGTGTCCCTTCCGTGTCTGGTTTTTAAGAGTATAAATTCCTTCTAGCAAGAGGACGTTTCTTTTTCATAGGTTGTAAAGGAAGGTGCCCATGGTTGGGGTTAATTCAAAGGTCAGTTGTTGTAACAGCATCATCGTTAAGGGCCATTGCGTGTTTGGATTCTTGGCTTAAGGCACATGTGGGGTGTTTGTCTGGAGAAGGGCAACGTTGTGGCTTCCAGAAAAATCAGTTACAACTTCCATCGGCCCTAGCCGTGGGCGTGGATGATGGGTGTTGTAGTCCAGAACACATGGAGAGCGCTGTTTTCCTTGCTGCAGCTGCTGTAACACAAACCGCTTAGAAAACGGGGAAGTGTCTTTCTAACATTCTCAAAGGAATCCATAATCTACTTTTTTTAAAAAAGACTCCTCTTGTTTAAAAGCATGCAAGGAAACGATGTCTGAGGCAGAAATGACCAGACCCTGTCATAATGGAGCAGTTTTCAGGAGAGAAGTAAGACTCATAACCTTTTAATAGTTGTGCTTGTGGGTGATGAAGTCTGCTTCTCCTTTTTCTTCCTCTTAATTTTTTTTACTTGTTTTTAGTGCTGACGAGCCATCTGTCCTGCTTCTTGTAAAAAAAAAATCTCAGTAATTCAATTTTTCTTTTCTTTTTTTTTTTTAAAAGGACACCAACTCACTGGATTGCTGAAAACTCTTGGAATAAGATAGATGGAGTCTTTTCACTTCTGCATCGTGGTCTTGAACTCCCATTCAGGTCACTGCTAAATGAACATCAGGGCACCCCTGACAGCTGTCAGGCTCCCCCCCCACCAGAACCAGCTGGTGGTCTCCCTTCCTCTACTCCCAGGTGAACAGACGGTCCACTGTACTGCAGCGGGCGCCCTGATCCCCAGAATTTGCACCCTCAGCCAGCTTCTGTAGGAAGTTTGACAATCCTCGTCCCATCATTTTGTAAGGCCTGCACATTTTATTTTCTGTGGGTGAGGCAGTTGCTTCTCCATGACGACCTTCACAGTGGTCAACAGGGTGGCTCTGTCCCGTTTTTATTGCCTGAAGTGAATGTGATAACCTTATTCTGTCTTCATGTTCTGTCTACCTATATATTTTTTTTCAGTTTCCAGTAGCTCCTAGGCAGGGCAGTCTTTTTTCTCCCTTTTTTTTTTTTGAACCCTGGGTCATTTAGAGCTCAAAACCACGTTTTTATGAGGCTGTCAAGAACACCAAGGTTTTGCCAGGAGCCAGCGAAACGATCAATCATTTCTTTTTTATGATGCTGTCAAGAACACCAAGGTTTTGTCGGGAGCCAGCGAAACGATCAATCATTTCTTTTATTGACGGACGGAGTCAGCCGGTGACCTTTTCTGGCTCCGTAGTTCCTCATTATCTGTTCTTTTTTTCTGCTTTCTGAGAAGACGTTGGCTCAGCTGATTCATATTCTTCCTCACTGGAGTTCTACAGACCAGTAACTTCTCTCCCCCAAAACTTTACAAAAACAGGTCTCCTTAAAGGTTTCCTTTGTTTGGGTCGACGTGCAGCTGGCACAGAGGAAATCGGAAGGAAAAACTGGATCTGAGCATTAAGCAGGTTTCCTGAACCCTTGCTTGCAAGCAGCGCGGAGCACATCCTAAGGAGAAACCGAGGCGCTGACTGGCCCTTTCCGTAGCCTTTGCCGCTAACCCTTGCTTGCAAGCAGTGCGGTCTGTCACGGAGCACATCCTAAGGAGAAACCGAGGCTCTGACTGGCCCTTTCCGTAGCCTTTGCCGCCTATTCCTGCCCGTGTGCTTTGACCTTTGCTGGTTGTCACTGGAAATTTTGTGCCATTCTACTTAAGTGACTGGGAGAGCAACATCCTATGTTCTGTGCTTCTCCTCTTGGTCCGCTAACTAGTCCAGTATGGTTGGGTGGATTCTTCAATTATTTGCCTGTTAGACCATGGCGGTGACCGGGCGTAAGGGACCACATAGATGTAAGCCGCCCAGAGTAGACTTGTGTCTAGATGGGTGGGGTATGTATGTATGTATGGATGGATAGATAGATACCGTATTTTTCGCTCCATAAGACACACCTTTCCATAAGACGCACCAATTTTTTAGGAGAAGAAAACAGGAAAATATAACCTGTTTTCTTCTCTCCATAAGACACACAGACTTTCCGCCCCCTGTTTTGTGGGAAAAAAGTGCGTCTTATGGTGCGAAAAATAAGGTCGATCGATCGATCGATCGATCGATCGATCGATCGATAGATAGATAGATAGATAGATAGATAGATAGATCCTTTCATCCTAAGTCAGCACCGCCCATAGGTCTGCTGGTGGAAGAGGATGAAAATTCAGCAGATTTATGGGCGATGCTGACTTAACGATGTTAGACATGATCAGATATTCCAGCATCCTAAGTCAGCACCGCCCATAGATCTACTGGTGGAAGAGGATGAAAACCAGCAGATTTATGGGCGATGCTGACTGAACGATGTTAGACATGATCAGATATTCCAGACAATCCACATCAGATCCCCCTCCACCCTACCCTCTGAAAAGCAATATTGCTCATTTGGATTCCACGCCATGACGTACCTTCTTTTCTCAGTTTTGGGCCTGATGCAGATGCGTTTCACAGGTTTTTTTTTTTACAGGAGCCAAGTCTAGTGACGTTCTGCGTCTTTATTAAATGCCGTCCTTGCAAGAGCTGGGAAGAAAGCTGTCCCCTTGCACCCTAAGTGAATGGGTATTCAAAGTACGGTTTCGCCCCGTTGTGGGGGTTCCTGTCGATTGCATTTCAGTGAAGAGCTGCCCAGTGGGAAGATGATGGGGGAACACACTGGGGGGGGGGGAACAGACGTCGTTTAGAGGCTGGAACAACAGGAGGAGCCCTGCATCTTGTTTGAGCGGAAGACTCCGGGGAACCCGTCCTCCATGCCCATTGCCTGAATTCCCCCCTCTCTCCTCTTCCTCCCCAGAAACAATGAGACGAGTGGTACGCCAGAGCAAGTTTCGGCACGTGTTCGGTCAGGCGGTGAAAAACGACCAGTGTTACGATGACATCAGGGTCTCCCGCGTGACCTGGGACAGCTCGTTCTGCGCCGTGAATCCCAAGTTCGTGGCCATCATCATCGAGGCTAGCGGCGGAGGGGCCTTTCTGGTTCTGCCGTTACACAAGGTAAGTGCGCGTGAGCTCTTCTTTAAAGAAGAAAGGGAAAAAAAGGGGTTATCATCATCATGCTTTTCCTCTGCCCCATCGTTGGGCGTTTCTTTCCTTTGGAAGAACTTTTTTTAAAAAAACACCCTGTAAGTAGACAGATAGGTTGCTTGACCGCTTGAAGCCAGTTGTGTGGCTGCTGATGTCACGGTTAATGGCAATCATCTTGTATCTGACAAGTTGCAGTCTGGTTTCAGGGAAAGTAAATAAATGACATAAATAAAAGATAAAGTGAAAAACAATCACTTCTCTATTTTAGACAGCAAGGTGTCCCGTCCCCCCCCAACTGATGGTTCTCAAACTTGTATATTGGATTTAAAGTAATGGTCTCCTCCTGAAGCCCACCCCCCTCTTTTTACACAGTCCTAAAAGTTTTATTTCCCCACAGCTACAGAATGTTGGAATGGGCCTTGTTTGTGTACTTGACACCGTGTGTTGGAGGGGAAATAAAATAACAAGGGTAGACCGCATCCTGGAGTTTAGTCGTTTGTGTGAAAAGGAACGACTGTGTCTAGCTTTTATCTGTGTGATCTGAGATCCCGCTTGAGGGTCTTTCTCCTGCGTGGAATCTGCAGTTGAGCTCAACTGAATTCCTGGGGTTTTGTTCCTCCTTAAGGAAGGTGAAAGAAAACAGGGGTGTGTGAACAGCCCCTGCCAAAAATCAGGAAGAGGCCTGATGGTCATGGAAACAATACATATGCGGGAACTTTTACCGACCATTAAGGGTATTTAAAAAATCCCAGAAAACGAGCAGCAAGCTTTCGGTGATAAATCATCTTCTTCAAGGCTGTGCATCATGTTCTCGTGGGGAGTTCGAAACTTATATGCTGTTATTAATGTGCCAAATTCACGTGGCTGATGAGGTGGAGGCCAAGTTCGCTTCTGAGGTGGAGACGGTGCTGTAAGCAAGTTGGTTTCAAGCTCTTCCTCAGCTGTCAGGAATTTGGGAGTTTATGGCCCACCTCTCAAAACAGAGGGACAGCCGGGGAAGTCTGGGCCCGTGAAGCTCTCCATTCTTGCAACAGGTCACATTAAGGTTGTTAAGAGTCCTCCCCTCCAGGCAATGAGTGAGACAGGACCTTGTTTGTTTGTTTTTTGTCCTTGTCATGATTTCTGCAACGTGAGCCATCTCAATGCAAAAATAGTTCCTTTCACTTTGAGAAACAAAAGTCGGTGTGTTAAAAACCTCAGCAGAGCCGTCCTCGTTATTTTCTCTACTCTACTCTTGCCTGGTTTGCTCAGTTTTGCTTAGTTTGCTGGGAGAGCGTTCTCTTTCCACAAGATGCCTCCTCGCTCTCACAGGGCGGTCAAGAAACAATTTGTGTGGTTTGAGAATGCATGTCCTTAAAGGCACTGATGTTAAAGATGCATGTGTCCTGGATTTCCGTTGAATGATCTTGTCAAAAAGGGTGCATTCTTGCCAGCGGTGGCTGGCGTGTTGTGTCCCATGGGCATAGGCCAAAATGTGCTTGCCCTCTTGATGCCATCTTTCTGGGCAGCCGGAAGATGGCATCAAGATTTTTCCTTTTCCTCCTGGAAGGCAGGAGGTGTAACACGACGGGGGGCTTCGTTGCTCTGAGCAGAGGTGCTAGCTAGATTCTGAAACCTTGCCTCCACTTTGGAACGTCTTCTGAACGTCCGTCTGATGGCTTCGGAGCCTTCAGTAAGAGCCCAACGCAGGGGAGAACCCACAACGAGATGTTGTTTCATATGCAACGCGACCGTTTATGCTTCCGGCTGGGCCTCCCTGTTCGACAGCCACGGATCGCGCTCAGCTCTGATTCTCCTGCCACGGGGGTTCCCCTCCTCTCTTGGCGTTTCGGACCATTTCAGGTGTGACAATACCTGCCAGTGGGGGCTGTTCTGACTCCAGCGAGGGTCCGAGGCAGTAGACGGAGAGAATGAAGGTGGCCACAGTCAAGGGGGGTTGGTTAAATAAGTTCTGTACAAGGAGGGTTCTGGAGTTGTTAAAGATCTAGCCGGTCTGTATGGGACAAAGGACTCAGAAAAAGCTAAGTATTACTGACGAGCATCTGTCGCAGTAAAAGGCCACTCTGCGTGGCCCTCCATCAGAGGCCAGAGGGTTTTCTGATAAAGCTTTAGCCTGCCTCTGAGTCCAGCCGCTCAACCAAGGAAGCTCTCTTCCCTCCCTCCTTCCTAAATCATGGCTCTTTTTACGGGGAGGGAGCGCCCCAAAATGATCCTGGACAGAAATCTCCTCTTAGCTGCCTCTCGGCCCCATCTGGGTGACCGCCTCTCTCAGCCCCCCCAGGCATAAAGCCCTCGGAGCAGAAAGGGGGAGCTTTCAAATAAAGTTTAACAATTTTTTGGGGGGGGGGAAGAGGCTGACGGAGAGCCTCACCCCACGAAAATCAGAGGGTGCTTCGGCCGGCGAAACTTCTTTCGGGATGCCTGTTGGATCCTAACAATTTTTTGGGGGGGGGGCAAGAGGCTGACGGAGAGTCTCACGAAAATCAGAGGGTGCTTCGGCCAGCGAAACTTCTTTCGGGATGCCTGTTGGATTGAATGGGGAGGAATGCGGCGAAAGCTCGCTGGTGCCCCCTTCGTCGCTCCCCCCCCCGTGCCTCAGGGACCGGACCACCGCCGGCCCTCCTGACCTTGTACGAGTGGCCTCCCTCCATAGGGCATGCCAGTAGGGTGGCCGTTTTTATTTTCCTCTCCAAAAAAGCAGAACCCACATCCTCTCCTCCTAGCAGAACGCATACAGATGCCGCCCGAGCCGTTTGCATGTCGCTTGCAGGTACTTTCATTGAGATTTTGCTGCTTTCTTGTGAAGGAGGAGGGCCTTATTCTGCATCCCCTGTATCTCTGGGGCTACTCTTTTCTTTCCGTTTGGCACTGAGACGCTTATTAGGGCTCCTGGTCCCTTCAGAACCTGCCTCTCTCCCACGGGGCGGCCACAGGGGAGCTGGAGGGGGGAAAACGCTCCTGCCGCAGTTCCACTCCTGTGCCCAACAGCAGCCCCCATCCGTCCGTCCGTCCACGCTGCCCGGGCTCTCCTCTCCTCCCGACAGTGGTTTTTTTTACCATATATGGCCATTAACAGGGCGCTTTGGGTTGGGAGCCACCCCGAATCCTTCCCTCCCTTCGCTTGGATTGGCCACTTTGAGCTCGGAGGATAGGCGCTCCCCGCGTTGGAGAAGAAGGGAGAGAAGCGGCTTTTGAGTCAAGTGGAAAAGCAGGGTTAACTCCTTGCTCCCTGGAATTTTGCTTTACATTTCCGTCGCCTGGGCCCTGCTTTTCTCTCTTGCAATTTCTCCACATGGCCGTGAGCGTGGGAGGCTTAAAATTAATCTCGCAGGGTTATCTGGCGTGTCCGAAAGGCTTGGCAGGGCCCACTTTCCTAGAGCATGGATGCAATTGAAGGCACAAAACGGTGGAGGGTGGGGTGAGGGGGGAGAGGAAAGCCCAGTGCTGTTAAAGGCATTTCTGCTTGGTTTCTTGGCTTTGCCCCCTTTAGCGGAAGGGAGAGGTGTCCCAAATTCCAGCAAGCCCTCTAACGGCTTGGGCTTCAGACCTCCGTAAATCGCTTTGCAATTTGCTGCTTTTTATTTTATTGCACAGAAGCAGGGGTGGTGGTGGGGATTTGCATTTCTTTTCCGAAGAACACCTGTTAAAAAGGACAAAACACACAACTTCTAACCTCGAGGTGAAAAGAGGACTTTGGGAAAATAAATACCCAGGGGAACATCTGAACTGGCAGCGGTGCGGAGGACTGTCCCTCAAAGACGTAGAATTCCAGCAGAATTACGTGTGGGTGGAGATAGAAAGCCCTGGCCGTTTCTAAAAATTCCAGGAAAAAGGGAAACCATCCCAGCAAAGTGGAACTGTAGGTTTATGGGTGTAATGGTATTTAATTGCTTAAAGTATTTTGTTTTACCCCGCCTTTCTCCTTAAAAGGGACTCGAGGCCCCCTTGCATCATTAAAAGACAATATTTAAAGCTGAAAACAGTGAGTATACAAATACTGGAAAAGATCAAGCAGAAAACAAAACAAAATGGTAAACAAAAGCAACAACAAAAACACATTCAAAGCAGTAAAGGCACCACAATCCATTTAAAAAAAAACACCCCACTTTTGTTTAAAGGCTTGAAACACTGTCCTTGTTAACCCAGATGTTGTGGGGGAATTCCTTCACTTTTTTTCCTTTCACCAACTTCTTTTGAAGGCCAATGCATGGTGGTTCTGAATTTTCATTGCACTGCGCAGGAAGTGATGGGAGAGACCTTCTGGTTGTGGTGGACGTTAAATCTGTTCTTTGATCCCACCTCTTCCGACGTCAAGCAGGAGCCTTTGTAAACAGGCGGGTGCTTCCGTTGTGTGTGTGGGGGGGGAATACACTGCAAGTAGAAAACTAGCATTTCAGGGTGAAAGTTGGCCTAGCTTTCACTGAGCGTTGCTTTTGTAAGGGTAAGGAAAGATCTTACGTAACAGCAGTGGGAAATTTTTTTGTTTGCTTGTTTTCCGGTTCCAGAAAATTTAAGAGAGTTCGTGGTAAAAGGGGACGGCAGGGCCAAAACGCCAGCATAATTCATTGTGACGCTTTTATGGCCTGAGGTGAAGCATTTTAGAAAGAAAGGTATTTAGGAGGAGGAGGAAAGGGAAATGGTGTAAAAAATAAATAAAAACCTTGGGAAACCGCATCCTGGAGAAGCGGTGGTGGGCCTTTGAAGGAGCCCGGAGGGGTTGGATCCAGCGTTTGCGTCTTCCTCCTGCCGTTCCAGGGATTGGGGTGAAAAGCGAGCAGAAATACTTCACTCAAACTTTTTTGGAGCTGTCAGCACCTCCACCGATATAAGCGTTGCCTGGGAAAATGTTAGTTTTAGTTCGAAACTTGGCTCATCAATGCAAAAGCTTTGGGAGTAAATCCTCCGTTTTGGGAAGCCGGTCGTGTATTTATTTTTCTGGGAGGAATCCAGATGTCGAAATGGCCTCGCTCTCCTTGCAGCCGAACCTCCGGTGGGCAAATATGTCATGCTGTTACTGAGAACGGAATTTGTGTGTGTGTGTGTGTGGGGGCTCTGGAGGCATCACCGGGACTTCCAAACATTGAGGTCTCTCTCTTTCTGCTCAGTTGGTGGCCTCCACTTCGGTCGGGAGTCAACCTGCCGTTCATCGGACAGGCCTCGAGCCCGGGGGAATAACATGGAGTGGTTATCCGTGTTTTCCTGCTCTGTGGGTGACCTCTTTTGTATTCAGTGGGAATCTTGTGTCAAGCTGAACCCTTGAGGAAACCCACTCCTGGCGGACTCACTTAGTAGCTGATTTTGTCAGGTGGAGTTAAATTTAGCGGATGCCATTAACCACATTACACTTTACCACTTTTAATATGTCTGTGTACATTTGTGTGTATATATGTTCACACACACACACACAGACAAATATGTGCGTTTTTGTCTGGACTGACCTGAATCTGGCTGATTATTTTGACTATAGTGGAACCCATTGAATCAAGGAATTCTTAAGCGGGTTTTGACTTATTTTGTTGTTTCCGATTGTATGAGCCACTTCAGGGTGGAACTGACGACTGGATTTAAGGCAGAGTAGCTTTGGGGGACCCCATTCCCAGCAAAGGTACGAGTTGCAATTTCTAGAAGTCTCTAGGGATGGCAGTTCGCCTTTTAAATAAAAAGGCTCTTACGCAGGTTTTGACTCCATGAGGTTTTTGACCTACTTATACAGGTTCTGACTTACTACAATCAGCATTTACCTGTTTATTTGTTACATTAACACCCTGTTTGTTTGTTTCAATGGGGAGGGTTCCCAGAGACGCCTTTGGTAACAACAGAAACAAAGCAGGCTGCTTTCTGCGCTCTGGTTTATGGTCCGAAACAGGGGTGAGCAAAGTCCAGCCTTCCAGGAGTTGTGGGGGCCCAACCCTGAACCCTCTTCCTTATGAGGTGCTACCTTGGCCAGGCGTGCTGGGTGGCTCCTTTCTATCTTTTGCAGGCCTCAGCTTCTCACCCGTAGAACCTGAACCCGTTGCCATTACAAGGGAAGTCCGGATGCATGATGCCGGCCCTTTGATTTCTCCCCCCCCCCAATTTTCTGCACAACTTGAAAGCTGTGAAGGTTCTTGCGGATGATGGGGATCAGTGTGATCTCTCTATGTCTGTCTGTCTGTCTCTCCCTTTGGGGAATGGTGCGGCCTTTCCTTATCTTAATGAGGGTTCGTCATGGAGAGCAGCAGCCTGCGGTTGGCCAGCTTGCCGGACGATAACTAATGGTCGTTGGTCACGGTCTGAATCGGAGGTTGCCGTGGCCGTTTAAGCCCCAGCCCTTGTGGGGTATGAACCATCTGGTGCCGAGAGTGGGTTGGCGCTCTCTGGAGAGGGCAGCCTGTTCCCCTTCAAGTGATAAGCATTGATGTCCAGGGGGTGGGAGAGACAAATTTGGACCTTGCAGAGGGGAGGCGTCCGGCCCTGGAAGAGAAAACAGGGCTTGTCTAGAAGGGCTCGCCTTTGCCTTTCAAACCCTTGCTCTGGGATCCGAGTTCCGTTCCCGTCTTACTTCATCAGGATGCTTAGAGTGGAGCCTGCAAGCTGGCGGACGTCATTGCTGTGTTTTCGAAGCGGAGAGGGTGACAAAAATCCTCAAATCAGTGGATTCCAAAGACTTCAATATGATATTTGTTCGGTCCTTTGTAAACATTTGTATATTTGCTGGTTATTGTTGTTGTTTTTAGCTCTTAAATATTCCCACTTTAATGAGGTGAGGGGCCTTATGTCTGTCTCACCACTGAGAAACAATTCCAGGTCAGGTCTTCTGTTTGAATGGTCCCGGGCTGTATCCTGCCAAAGGGTTTACATCATGTAAACAGAGATTCTAGCCAATTGTTAGACCCCTTGGTTGAGTGAGAGATTTAACACTCAGCTGGGAGTTTGCAAACTTGGGAGAATCAGCCTTTCATCTCGAACAAACAGAAAGAGAAACATTGGCCAGTTTAATGGCTCCGTACTAGCCCTTGTTTTTCTTCTTAAAATCCTGATCAGCCTATGGGGGAAACAGCTTTTGTGTGCTTAAGTTGTTCTGAACACATTTGATCTCTCTCAGGTCTCTTATTGCACATTTTCTACTTTTGGAAAAGTCAAAATGTACAAATTCTAGAGATTTTTTTCCCTGTGTTTTTAAAAATCCGATTTCTGAGCAGGGAGGGTCCCTTTCTGTAGGTCTTCGGTGCCTCATATCTAAGCAAAATGCACCCCTCTGGTGGTTGTCAAACTGCTGCGACCCGCTTTCCCCCCCACCCTTGGCCATGCTGACTGGAGGCTGATGGGACCTGTAGTCTGACAGGACCTAGACAGCCTCATTTTGCCTCCCTCTGTTTGAGGTGCAGTGGCATTTATTTATTTGGTAGACTTATCTACCGCTTGAAGACATTGCCTTTAAATTTGGGGGTGCGTCCTGATTTCTGAAGCTGAGCAAGGCCGGTTTGGGTTTAGTCCTTGGGAGGGAGACGAGGGGCAGAGATTTTCCAGGTTGAGCTGGGATAAGCATCTGTCCTGAAACCCTGGAGACCTTCTTCGAGAGTGAACATCAAGGATCTGACTCAGGAGAAAGGTCAGCCATCCTGCAAGAGCTAAACACCCCAGGTTCACCTCGGTTTCCTCCTTTAGTGCTTGGCTTGGTTGTTTCCACGGCCAGAAACACTTACCTGATCCAGGCGTACCTGTCTATTCCAGTCAAGGCAAGCTTGTAGGAACTTGGCAGTGGCCTTTTGCATGCATGTCGTCCAACGATGTATGGATTCCTTCTGCGTTCAGTACATGACTGTGTTTTCTCCTCCTCTTCTCCAGACAGGTAGAATCGACAAATCTTACCCCACAGTATGTGGCCATACGGGGCCGGTCCTGGACATCGATTGGTGCCCCCACAACGACCACGTCGTTGCCAGTGGCTCGGAAGACTGCACGGTGATGGTAAGTGAGGGGTCCAGGGCTCACGCCGGGGAAGGGGGGGGCAAGGCTCATTGGCTGGAAGTAGCGCTTAGGCGCCCGGAGGTGACTTTCGGACACCTCCTTATGTCCCTGTCAAATCGGTGCCAGTCACCTGCCCCATTCCAGCGGTCAAGACTGGCAGGTCCAAAGGGGCTCCAAGTGGGGACGCCCTTAAATGTCCCTAGAGGTTTCCCACCATCCCAGTGAGTGGTGACCCACTGAGCCATCTTGGTGGGCCTGATCTATGCCCCGTGTTACCTTGCAAACATAATGAAGAGGTTTCCTGTGAAATCCTTTTTTTAATGACATAACTCTGAGTTATATTTGATTTAGGCTGAATATCAGGAAAAACTTCTTAACTGTTAGAGCCGTATGACCATGAAACCCGGGAGGTGGTGAGCGCTACAGCGCTGGAGCGGCATTCATGAGACCTTTAGACCACCCTCTGTCCGATCTGCTTGGATCTGGATTCCTGCCTTGAGTGTTGGGGTGGGGGAGAGTTGGGTTCAGTGGCCTTAGAAGGCCCCTTTTCCAGCTCCATGATTCTAGGATTCTATGTTTATATTCTGGCTTTTCTCCAGGGTCCATGAGGCAGCAAAATATGGCTCTGTGTCAACCCTGCAGAGAGAACGGCTGGCCCACAGTCAACCCCTGAGTTTGATGACTCAGCGGGGAGTAAGCCGTGGGTCTCCCAACACGCTGATCACAACACCACATTCTTTGTGCTTTTGACAATTTAAAAAAAGGGGGGGGATTTGTTTTGCCTCAAGTTGGATGAATCCATTTCAGCATCGTCATCATCCCTCGTGATTTTTTAATTCCTTTTCTGTCTTTCAAGCATGACTCCACGCGGTCACCCCCTGTGGTCTTTTGGAGGACGTAAAAGAGTTAAAAGAATATACTGTACTGTATATACTCATTTCATTAAAACAAAAATTAAAAGCCAGTTGGGTTTCAAGGCTAACCTGGATGGTGTGGAATGTTGTTTTTAAAAAAAAGAAGATCAAAATTTAGAAAGCATGTGAAACGGAATAAATGTTGCCTGAAACGTAGCTGTCCCATGGTTTGGGGAACTATTCGCTTGCGTTTTTCTCTCGAGAAGGAAGCCTGTGTTTGCCTCTCAAAGCCGAACTGAATGGGGAAACTTAGGTGGCTTCGGAGCAGCTGACTCTGGGACATGGAGCAGCCCGGCTGAATCACAGTATGATACTTTGCCAATAAACAAGTTTCGGGGGGAAAATGTCTCAAGTGGGAAACAGACACTAGCAACTTCCCCCTTGCTAAATCTGCCTCCCAGATGGATATCAGTTTGGGGAGTCATCTCCGAAAATAACTTTGCCAGCCTCTGGAATTAAGGAGCAAAGGAAGTGTTCTTGAGGGTGATCAATTATGCACTGAGAAGGAGGAGCAGCCCCTTCTTTTCTACTTTCAGGTCTTTAAAGGGTTGACTCTTTCGGCCAAGAGTGATTGGGGAGGGTTGCAGTCCGGAAAGCACCAGGTCAAAGAAGGCTTGTTGTTGTTGTTCTAAAGAAACGTGTAAGCTTTTTTAAAAAGAAAAAACACCAGTGTCCAAAGTCCTCCACCCCACCCAGATCAAAAAGGTGGGGTCCGTTTGTTGCTCCCCCACCCACCCCACTCGCTTAACTTTTAAAAGGACATTTCTCTAAAGTATTGCCATGTGGACCTCCTAGTCTGAATGGATGTTCCCTTTGAAGAACCGTTTTCTTATGCCAGCAAATAAGGAACTGCTTAATTGTGGATTCTTCAGAGGTTTTGAACAGTAGTAATGGACTGCAGGTTTTGCCCTTCCCCATGGAAGAAATCTGGGTTTGTTGTGTTTTTTTTATGTAAGAGAGAATACATGAGAGAAGGTGCCAAATGGCCGGTCTCTGGAGGGACGCATTCATTCCAGTTCTCCACCAGTCTGAGCTTCAAAAAAAAAGGCTGGCTACTGGTTCCCCTGGTCTGCAGAAAAGCAGGGGTCTGCCTTGGAGAAAGAGGAGGCCCCTTGGCCCTTCCAGACGACCCACGGCGAACATGAGGCTTCCCCTTTTAGGACACAGGCTTCCGGATTGACCTGGCTTTGTCCCTGATGCTGGTGGGGGGTCCTCGCTGATCTTAAGCTGCTCGGGGCGGTGGGGTTTTGAGGGGGTGTGCCACAGAGTCCCCTTCCCGAGTCTGGCGTCATGCGAGATGCCAGAATGGCGTCGTCGTCAAACCTGGGCCGTTCGTTCTCTGGAGTGAACTTGGTGAGAGAAAGGAGAGAAATGGCTCTTGGTCGGGTTCGGAGGCGGTGACGCAATTCTTTGGTGTATTTTGCTGCACGTGGGAAGCCGCGGCGTGACGGCCAACGCGCGCTTCCCTCCTCCCGAATCCCAGCCCCTCCCTCTTGTCCGTTCTTTTAAATCTCCCAAGGCGTGGTTTCATTCTTTCCAAACTGCAGCAACCCATCTAAAGATGAATGTGTTGCGTGGCTCCTGGGGCCGTGAAAGCTTTTGCCGAATGCAATGCGTCGGCCCGCGTGGAGCCGCAAGTCCTGTTTGTTGTAGGGCCGCAACCCACGGCGACCTGTTTAAAAACTCGCTTATTTTTAGACTGTAAGATTTTTCTTGTTCCTTAGGGCGGCCTTTACGCTGGGGCTGCGCAGGGTGGGGCCGTATTCTTCTTGCTCCTTTTCCATCATCCTGTCATGTGGACTTTGGATGAACCAGCCCCAAACAAGGGGATGCTGCTGCGTTGCCTCCCAAGCCAGTCCCTGAGGTTCTTCAGCCTGGACCTTTTCCACCTCCCCGTCTTTCTTTTTCCATTTGTTTCCTCTTGAAAAATGAGCTGTTTTTTTTTTTTTGGATGTCTCATTACATGACCACAGTGTTCCAGTTTTCTGCATTTTACACGCCCATCACGTGCTGCTGGGGCGTTTTACGGCTCTCCTGCAATGCCCTGCTTTCCCCTTGGAGGTTGGCTCAGGGTTGGCCCGAGAGAAGGCGAGACTCACATGTATGGCTTTAGGTCCTCTCCTTAAACCCAGCTGCCAGCCCAGTTGCAAGGGAGGTCCGGCTCCCCGCTTAGCGTTTGCCTTCGCCAGAGGCGAACAATTAGATAATGCAGGCGCAGGCTGTCCCTTTGCTGCCCTCTGTTGGCGGTGGATGGGCAGCTTCTGCAGCTGTTGGCCGCTGGCCTCCCTGCTCGGTGGGGACGAGAAATTGACTCTCAGTGAGGGCAGGAGCTCGGATCTCCCAGGTTCTGGCCAGACCCTCTAATAGCTGTGTCCACCTTGGTCACCCCCAGCGGCCCTGGTGGAACGGCCGTTTCGCTTGGCAGGACTCGTGAGAACCAGTGGCCGCAGAGGACGCGTGGCTTGTGTCCCTCTTTAGGAAATGGCCCGATCCCCAGTGACTTTTATGTTTTTCCCACCTCCGCTTACTCTTTCCAGGTCTGGCAGATCCCAGAGAACGGTCTCACGCTGTCCTTGACCGAGCCAGTGGTCATCTTGGAAGGGCATTCCAAGAGGGTGGGCATCGTCGCCTGGCACCCCACGGCCCGCAACGTGCTGCTGAGCGCCGGTAGGTTGGAGGGGTATCCTGGGGAATGGAACCGTCTCGGCTTATTTCAGCTTTGGTTTCTGCAGAGCCACCCCTCTTCCTCCCCCCTTCTCTCCCCCACCCCCAAAAAAGAAAGAGAACAGGGTGGAAATGTTCTTTAGGTCACTCTTTTATTTATTTGAAACCTTTTTTACCCCGCCTTTCTCCTTGAAAAAGACCCAAGGCAGCTCACAGCGCTGGAAGACCGTATTTAAAGTTGAAAACCGTGGTGGTTTGCATCGTTTAAAAGACCATATTTAAAGCTAAGAACTGTGAATATAAAGAGGTGGCCTGCATCGTTGAAAGACAGTGTTAAAGCTGAAACAATAAGTAGACAAAATATTAAAAAGGAAGAAACAAACACCGCTCCGAGAGAGGTTAAGTGCAAGTTGTACTGGCGGCCCCATCCGAGCAGCCATGCAGAACAACCCCATCTAAAACTCTAGGTGTTCCCAGACGGCATGCGCTCGTGAGCCCAGGAAGGCGGTGGTGAGGAAGCTGCTTAGAGGGTTGCCTTCTCTCCCCCCCCTCCTCTTTCCAGGTTGCGACAACGCCATCATCATTTGGAACGTAGGCACAGGGGAGCCCCTGATCAACCTGGACGATATGCACCAGGACATGATCTACAACGTCAGCTGGAATCGCAACGGGAGCCTCATCTGCACAGCTTCTAAGGACAAGAAGGTCCGCGTGATCGACCCCAGGAAGCAGGAGATCGTGGCCGTGAGTAAAGGCTGGCCTTGCCGATCAGATCAGCCCAGCCCAGCCTTTTTCTTCTACTGCTAGTGGGGATTCGGTCGCTGCTGCTGCTTCTTTTCTCTTGAGGTTGGCTTTTGCGTTTGTCCCACCCTCTTCCCTCTGAGCACTTTCCTCTTCACACGCCTGAAGCCTGTTTGTGCTTTGTGTTTGGAACCTACGCAGGCTGATCCCGTGCAGTCAACTAAGGGGGAAGTAAATGCCCCCCTCCGGCTTGTGTGTAGAACCACAGGACTGTAGGGCCAGAAGGGACCCCAAAAGGGCCCTTGAGCCCAGCTCCCTGCGGAAGTCGGAAACTGAACCACTGAAACCTCCTGGGCAGCTGGCTGTCCAGACGCCGCTTAAAAACCCTCCCGTGCAGGAGAACCCAATCCCTGCGCTCGAGGCCGCCCGCTCCACTGTTGAACAGCTCTTGCAGCCAGGAGGGACCTCCTCATGTTTAGTCTCTGTTGCCTCGCTCGCAGTTTGGACCGTTTGAGCCCCATCCTGGAATCTCGCCTCTCATCAGTCACTCCCACTTGGATAGAAATCTTAAGCCCACGTTGTCCAAGAAGGATGTTTGTAGGAATACTAAGCGTTGACTAAACCTTATTGTGTGCAGTAGGTTAATGGACCACGGCGGTGGCCGGGTGGGGGGAAGGTTGGACCCCTAGGGTTAGGAGAAACACAAAGAGTCTAGACGTTACTTCCTGCCTGTCAGAAGGACGCAGATGAGCGGCCTTCTGCCCATTGAGGGAAAGCTAGAGGCCATCATGCCGGAGGCCGTGGCTCCTTCTGCTAGCAGCTGGAGAGCAGCGACTGCAGCGTTTCTAACCCCCTTTCTTTTTTCCCCCCCCAGGAGAAAGAGAAGGCGCACGAAGGGGCGCGGCCGATGCACGCAGATGAACGGCCCAAAGCATAGCAGGAAATGGCCTTATCGGATGTACGGAACTGACGGCACTGAGGAGGGGTGGCTTTTTAGTCGGGTACGGGAACCCTACAGCCATCCGAGACCCCCTCGGTGTCCCGCCAGGAGCATGCAGAGCCTCTGCTTCAGAACTGGGAGATGGTCCAGAGGCCTCCTTCTGCACATTGAGGGAAAGCCCTGTGCTAGCAGCTGGAGAGCAGCGACTGCAGCGTTTCTAACCCCCTTTCTTTTTTTCCCCCCAGGAGAAAGAGAAGGCGCACGAAGGGGCGCGGCCGATGCGAGCCATCTTCCTCTCGGACGGGAACATCTTCACCACCGGCTTCAGCCGCATGAGCGAGAGGCAGCTGGCCCTCTGGAACCCCGTGAGTTGCCGTGATCGTGGGGGACCCGCGTGGTCCATGCGCAGAGGCATGGGCCACCGATGCCCTTTGGGGAGGGAAACTCTTCTGCCCATAGCTTTGTCGTTTGCTCCTTCCTGACTCTTTGTGAGACGCCCCTTGAGCTCTTCCGTCTTTTCCAAACTTCTTATTCTGTACAAACGTCGGCATAACTGCCTTTTGCAGCAACCCACGATCGTGTGGGCGATGCTCTGTTGAAAAACGTTGCTCAGCTCTGCTCCTACCTCCATGCCAGCACAGAGCAATCCCTCCGGGGGAATCACAGAGGAGGTCTTTCCTCATTTTATTTTATTTTTTCTTTCAGCAGGATAGCCAGGGAACTTGGAGCAAAGCTCGAAAGCACCGTCTCGGTCTCTTGAAAATAAAAGCTGCTGTTCTCTTTCCCTCCAGAAAAGACATCGGCATAACTGCCTTTTGCAGCGACCCACGTTGCTCAGCTCTGCTCCTGCCTCCATGCCAGCACAGAGCAATCCCTTCTGGGGGGAATCACAGAGAGGAGGTCTTTCCTCATTTTATTTTATTTTTTCTTTCAGCAGGATAGCCAGGGAACTTGGAGCAAAGCTCGAAAGCACCGTCTCGGTCTCTTGAAAATAAAAGCTGCTGTTCTCTTTCCCTCCAGAAAAGTATGGAAGAGCCCATCGCCCTCCACGAAATGGACACCAGCAACGGGGTGCTGCTTCCTTTCTACGATCCAGACACCAACATCATTTACTTATGTGGAAAAGTGAGTATCGGAGGCTTTGGTGGGTGGAATCCTGCCTGCAAAAAGCGGGGGGGGGTGGCACAAAATAGGTGGCGCACAGAGGTTGCTGGTGCAGCTGCTGTTCCAGCTCCTTGTCCCCAAGAGGGAGAGGAGGGTCCCCCCCCCTCTCAATCAGATCTCTCTCCTTCCACCCACCCGCGTCCCAGACAAAATAAACCACCATTTCAGGCTGCAGAGCCAGAGTTTGGGAGTTTGATTCTCCGCTCTGCCCTCCTTGATATGATCTGGAGTCGATGATCCGTAGAGTCCCTTCCAGCTCTGCAGTTCTAAGAGGATGATGATGATGATGATTTTGCAGGATAAAAACCACACCGAAGGATGTTGCAGGTCAATCTGTTTCTGCTCAAGTGTTTCCAAAACGTTTGTTTGCCAAACTCTCAGGGCCTCCTTGTTTATTTGTTTGGGGTTTTTTTTAATATACAAATGTTTCTTTTCCGCTCTGCAGCCCAGAGTGGGCTCCCAGAATCGTTACCGTTAAAAGTAACCCTTTTTAAAATAGCGGCGATCCCATTTAGAAACAGAAAAACAGCAAAGAGGTTGCAAAAGGTTAGCAAACATTGGCTGTCCTGAAAGCCGGGTGTTCTGGAAAGAAGATAAGCAGACCCGGAATGACAAAAGATTTCCATCTGGCACCAAAGGCGGGATGAGGGATGGAGTGGTGCATTTATATTCCTCGCCTTCGGACCCTCGTCGACGGGTGTGGGTGCGTGTGTGTGGACGTATCTCTGCTGTGTGTGTGTGTGTGTTTTTTTAAAGGATGGAAACTGTTGCCGCATGAGTCTCTTTTTGCCAAAAGGGCAAAATAAGCAAGAAAAACGGGCCAGCGTTCCCTCGTTCTCCCCGAGGGCCTTTTGTGCATCTCCTGTCGGTTTTGGCACGGCTTGTGGGGGAGAAATTTCTAGCGGGTTTGGGCTGTTGCTGAGTCCGTGTGCCCGGCTGCTCTTGTAACAGGAGGGAGAGGTCCACGTTGCCATGCGCAGAACGGCTCAAAGGTGTCTCTAGAACGTGGCCATGGCTGGGGAATGTGCCCCCCCTGGAAGCCGTGCCCTGGGGAGGTGGCGTTCGCTCAGTGGCAGCTGCACCGCATGGTCCCTGCTGGCCTCGTTTATTGGTCATTTCTCCCTCCCCCCCTCTTTTTTTCTGTTTGTTTGTTTGTTTTCCCAATGGGATTTCTAGCCTGTCTCACCTTGCGTTGCTCAGCTTCACAGGGGGTTTCTAGCTTGTCTCACCTTGCGTTGCTCAGCTTCACAGGGGAGCCACCCAAGTCCGTCGTCAAGAGCCTGTGCTCTCAAAGGAGACCTTGTTTCTCCTAAAAAGGATCCTTTGCACAGAAATCATTCCTGCCCACTTGCCGTGGGGCGGATGGTGTGCGCAGAGGAGAGAGGCCAGGAAGGGTCCTGCCATACCAGATGCCCACCAAAGACCCCAACGGATAGTAAAAATCAAAGGCAGTCAGCCCCTTTTTGAAGTCTTCCGCCCCTGTCCTTTCGGGACATTTAGGATTCATTCACAACCCAGTGGAGGCTCCCCTGTCCTGTCCTGGGGGGGGCTGCTCTCTCTCGGCGCAAGTGGGGCATTCCCCCCCATAGTCATCCGCCTTCCTTCCTCTGCCCCCCCACCCCCTTCCTCATTCCAGGGCGACAGCAGCATCCGTTACTTCGAGATCACCGCCGAGTCCCCCTACGTTCACTACCTCAACACCTTCAGCAGCAAAGAGCCCCAGAGAGGGATGGGCTTCATGCCGAAGCGAGGCTTGGATGTCAACAAGTGCGAGATAGCCAGGTAAGGGCCCCCTTTCTCTGCCACGGGGCCCTGGGTTTCAGCCCCCCCCCCCGGGAAGAGCAGCAGCAAGGGGCTCTGTCTCTGTGGCGTTTCTGGCAGAGAACAAAACGAGGGATTCTTCCTCAAGGCTTACATCTTCCCGATCACGTCTTCAGTCTGCTGTAGAAAAGTGTTTTTAATCCTCTTTTTTTTTTAACTTGTGTTTTTCATCTGTTTTTAAATACATCGCATCTGTCCTCTTGTATGTTGCATAGAGAATCTTGGTGGGCAGGAAAGCGAAAAGGCAGCCATTTTTAAAGAAACAGGGAGTCGTGAACGGTGGCGGGCCGAGGGCCGAAAGCCAGCGGGCAGAGCCAGGTCCCCTGAAAAAGTCCTTCTGCGCTGTTCTGGCCCGTTTGCCTCTTTCAACATCAGCACCAACAGACTGTGTCTTTTCAGAGAGTGGCGCAAGCTAGTGTGATTCCCCCCCCTTTTGTCTGAGAGCCACTGGCTGACATTTTTTAAAAGACCTTGCTTGTCCTTAACAATATATTTGTGTGCAGAAGGTCCCACAAAGGGATCCCTCAACTTCCGGGTTAGGCCTTATGGATCAACAGCCCACCCACCCCGACATTTCCCTGATTCCCTGTGGTTCCTTTTGGCTTCCCCCTCTCTAGTCGCTTTGAGGACCTGAGGGGAAAGTCTTGACCCCGTTCCCTTCTCTGTGTTTTTCCCCCTTCTATAAAGGTTCTTCAAACTCCACGAGCGGAAGTGTGAGCCCATTATCATGACCGTCCCTCGGAAGGTGAGCGCTGCCCTTGTTTTGGACACGCGAGCGGCTGTTCTAGGAGGACGGGGTGGGCAAAGGACATCTCTTTTCCCCCCTCTAGAATTTTTTTGGGGTGGGGTCTTTTTGGACTACAACTCCCATCCATCTTAACCTGCGTGAGCCAGGCACAAAGTGTATCTCTCTCTCTCTCTCTTTCCTTCTTTCTTACGTTCTTTTTTCCACCCGCCACAGTCTGACCTTTTCCAAGACGATCTGTATCCAGACACCGCTGGACCAGAAGCGGCTCTAGAAGCAGAGGAGTGGTTTGAGGGCAAGAACGCCGACCCCATCCTCATCTCCTTGAAGCACGGCTACATCCCGGGCAAAAACAGGGACCTCAAGGTGGTGAAGAAGAACATACTGGACAACAAGCTGGCCGCCCTCAAGAAGAGTGATGTCGTCAGCACCCCAAAGAAAGCAGCAGCAGTAGACCCTTCCAGCACTGTGAGTCGTCAGAATAAGTTGCTAGTCCTCAGGGTCTAGGGGCCTGGGTTTCATTTTTCTCCTCTCCGCTCGTGTGTCATGTTTAGAAGCTGGGAGAGGGAGTGCCTTGTGTCCTCCCACCAGACGCATCTTCTAAATAAGGGGTTAGAGCCAATGATCCAAAAATCACACCCAATTATGCAGAATCTACAAACTCTGACTTGACCTGAGGTTTACTCTGGTTGGGGTGAACAGTTGGGTTGAGGCCCAGGGCTTTTAAAGGAAAAGCAAAGAGTGCTACTTATAAACTGCCCCATAGCACTTAAAACTCTCTCTGGGCAGTTTACAATTTAATTATGCAAGTTACACATTCCCCCCCCACTTACCCCCAGCGAGCTGGGTTACTCGGTTTACTATGGAAGGTTGGGTCAGCCTTAAGTTGGCTACCTGAATCCGCTGAGATCGAAGGCAGGTTGCGAGCAGAGTCTTGATGTCAGCACTGCAGTTTAATCTCCTAGCTGGTGTTTTCCCTCGCCCCCATGGTTGCACTAATATTCACAGTTTCCTTTCCCCTGTCTGTTCATGTATTATTATTGGGTGTTTTTGTTTTTTTAATTTTAGCAAAACGAAGCCAAATTGGATGAAATTTTGAAAGAGCTCAAATCTCTAAAAGACACAATCACCCATCAAGATGAACGCATTTCCAAGTTAGAACAGCAGATGGCGAAGATGGCCGTTTGAGGGCCGGGCGGGGATGGGGTGGGGGGAGGAGGAAGGAAGGAAAGAAAGAAAGAAAGAAAAAGGAAGGAAGGAAGGAAGGAAAGGAAGGAAGCCGAGTGCCCGAAATGTGAGCCACGCTGTGGGTTCGGTGGGAAGACCCCCGCCCGTCGTCGGGAGGACGTTTCCAAAGCCGGGCCTGCGTGACCACTTCGGGTCCCGTTCCCGGTTCCGGCCCGAGGTTTCTCCTCCTCAATTCCGAAGCGCCAGCAAAAGCCGACGACGATTTTGAAACCAAGCCCCTTTTGAGTGCGGAAACCTTAATTTTCTATTGTTTTGGTGACCTGTGGCCATTTCAAGACTGCTGCTGTTACAACTCGTTGCTCCTTGTGCTTTCATTTATTTGAAAACAAAACAAACAAACAAAACCAGCCATTCCACTCACCCCTCTTGACGAGGAGCCAAGATAATGTATTGAACTTTCTAGGATTTGGGACCAAAATCACATTGGTTGTTTTTTTTAAAGAAAGTATAACTTTTTTTAAAATTTTGACTTTTAAGTTGCCAAAATCCCAAAGTATTTCCCTCCCCCTGACCTCCTTTTTACCATTTTTCAGTATTCTTTGTTTTTAATCTCAAGGAACATCACTCTCTTGTGTATTTGTGCCGTTCAGAGAACAAAATGAGTTCTGTGTAAACGCTGTTAAATCTTCAGACGATTGTAAAGATAATCCCACTGCCAGGTGTCGAGAGACCCACCCATCGAAAGAGTTTTGAGCTTTCTGACTTGCCATAAATACATCCTCATTCAACCCCTGTTGACTCTGTTCTCAACCCCAGAAAGGAGGCCCATCTCTTGTGCCTTCCCTCTACTCCACATTCTATCATCCTGGGGAATTTGAGGTTTTTTTGTTGCTGTTGTTTTGCCAGACCTGTGTTGCCATTATTCAAGCATCTGTTTGTGCTTTGGTTTAATCGGGATGATGTAAAAAAAAAATCAGCCTGCTAGAAATGCAGAATTTTCTGTGTTTGGTTCCTGCAGAGGATGGCTCTGTTTGTCCTTCCTCTGCGTGCGCATGTGTTTGAAAATTTGGCCATGGGGACCTTAAGGACGACAGGAGAAGCCCTACGTTTTGCAAATGATGTTTAAGATGACCCCCACACGCCAGCTGTGTCTTCTGCCTCAGAGTCCCTGGGCTTCCTAGTTGGTCTGATCAGAATGGCTTTGCTTCTTTAAGAACAGTGACAGACCAAGCAGGATTTCTCTCTCTCTCTCTCTCCTTTTGCTTGAGAAATTCCAGTTAAAAAATGAATGCCAAACCAGCAGAAAACAGCAGCAGGAGATCTGCCTGCTCTTGGTGGCCCTGAATACCATCCTTCTGTCATCGGGCAGCCTGAAGGGAGGGAAGGTGAGGAGAGGAGCCGTTCTGGGTAGAGGGGAGGGATGGGTCTCTGTGATCAGCTCCGTCTTGAATGAACTCGGACTCACGAGTCACGGCCGCTGGAAGCGAGGGGGGCCGTCTTGACTGCCTGGAGCCTCTCTTGAATCAGGGGTTCCCCACCTGGCTTCCCCAGGCGTTCTCGGACTACAATCCCCAGAAGCCTTCGCCCACCAGCTGTGCCGGCCAGCATTTGTGGGAATTGCCATCGGAGAACATCTGGAGGCCCCTTGTCCTAGGCCAGTAGCTGCCCTCGCCACCTTCCAGACATCTTTCGTGGCCAGAATTTGCCCTTCGCTCTTGCCCATGAAGCCCATGGAAAGTTCGAAGGCTGCCGAAAGACAGCCGTAGCCACGTTGGAAGGAGCCGAGCAGAGAAGCCAAAGTGGGTGACCCCCAAAGCCAGTTGCAATTTTGGAGGGGGGGTGGAAGGAAAGAGGATGGTTCCCCCCCCCTTAGCCCCTCTTCACATGTTTCTGCTGGGCTGGGGATGTGATTTTGATGCCCGTCATCTCTACGGAGCGTCTTTCCTCTGCCGTTCGTGCCCAGTCTGTTGTGTGTGTGGGACCTTCTTTTTCCTCGAGGAGGGAGAGACCACCTCGGTTGCAAAAGAAACCCACAGACCCACGCAAGGCAGGGTTGGAATGCTTGTATAAAAGTCGAATCTGGAGTAAAATTTGCTTATAAAGGGTCCGGCATGTTTTGAAATGAAAGACCACCTTTGCCCATTGGGGGTGGCGTGGGAAGGAAAGCCATTTCCCCCTGTTGTACCCACGTGATGCCACCCCGGATGAGGAAAGTCTTTCTCAAAATATCTTCGGCATTTTTGCCAGTTTACCGTTTTATAAGTTCATAGGAAACCTCTCCTCCCTCTGGGCTTTCCACTCGTTTCTGAGTGAGGCGTATTACCTGGTGCCTGAAAGAACAGTTGAGCTGGTGCTTTGCTAGAAAAAGAAATAGATATCAAAAGATGTGTTTCTCCATTTTTAAACACAGACACACGAACATGTCTAGGCGTCCGTTTCACAGCTTCCTTTGAGGCATGCACAATGCCATGTTCCTGTAGTTCAGTAGCCTAGCAAAAAAAGTTTTTTTGTGGTGGCCATATCCATTTTTTAAAAATTTTTCCTGCTTTTTATTTTTAAGCACTGCGGGTTCAGGACTGGAACAGCGAGGCTTTGGTGTTTCTGAGGACGATGCTAGCAAGCGTGGGTGGAAGGTTATACCTGGTGGACAGAGCAGTGGTCAGTTCAGCTGGGAAAAGTAGCGATGGGATGAGGTAGGTGCCCCTGTCGTTCACAGGGTCGGATATTTTTTTTAAAAGGATTTGGAAGTTGAGTGGAAGAGAGAAGAGCACCAGCAGTCTCTGCTGATGGGCACGGGGTCTGTCGTTGAGAGGGATCTGGAGGGGGTGCGTGAGGTGTCAAGAAGGAAGACCTTGGTTGTTGAGAAAGGATTGTGGAGCCGCTCCCCTCCATAGGTTACGATACCTTTGCAGATCTCTACCCTAGGCTGCCATTCTTGGAGACTTCCTGGTTTTAAACCAGGAGCGATGGAATGAGGAATGCCCGGTTTCGTTCTGAATGCCCGGCGTGGGACATCGGCTGGTTCCCCTCTTCCTCTCTGGCCCCAAAGGGACCACCGGCTTTTCTGTGGAATGACACCCCCCCCCCGGTTGGTTTCAAAGGAAAAGGGTCGCCCGCCAGCGAGGCTCAGCATCCATTTTAATTTCTAGCTTGTGTTTTTACTTGAAACAAACTGGGGGATGCCTAGCCAGGCTCAGAAGGAAGGCGTGCCTGCAGCTTCTTGCTTGCTCTGTCGTCCTACCACCACCCCCTTAAAAAGAGAGAGAGAGAGAGGGATCCAGAACAGTCGTTTGAGGGATTGCGCTCTCTGTTCTGTCCAGATACTTGCTTCCAGTTTCAAAGATTTAAAAGAAAATGGATTACAAAACAAAACAAAATCCTGCAACTCTGTGGTTCTCTTTTTTTATTTCTCCAAGGGAACGTGCGCGTCTGGGCACAGCCCAACCCGGGGGAACCTCATATGAGCCACTGAATGGCACTGTCGTCCTTGGCCCCCCTGCAGCCGAGACACAAACTCGGTTGAAAATGTCTCGGAAGGTGGTGGTGGTGGTGGCGGGGGGTTTGAAACCAGTGGCTCGAGCGCAGCTTGCTCAAATGTCGAGGGCAAATTGATCGCTTCTTCAGCTACTCCAGCGTTTGCAGAGCTAACCGGCGGCTATTTAGCTCTCTGGGGATTTAGGCTGGAGGTGTACGGGACTTACTCTCGGTTTGAAAGGTCCATGCACCAAGCGACCAACATCCTGCCCCCCCCCCCGGGCAGACTCTTGGGACTGGGGAAGGCGTGCTTTCAGGGGTGCAGGACTCGGCGGTCTGCAGTTCGTGGAACTTACCGGACTTTTTCATAAAATGTAGAAGGATCAACCCTGATCCATCGCTTTTCACAATAGCAGAATGGATTGGTCTTCACCTCAGAGCAGAGTCCCTGACCCCTTTTCTTAAGACTCAGGCCTCAGTGAAACAGACTTGAGAAAATGTGAAGAACATGTTAGTATAGGATCAGGGCCCTTCAACGTTTGATTTTCCAAGAGGAAACTCGATAACAGTGTATGTATAATGTTGCTTGAGACCTGCCAATGCTTGGTTTCATTACACCACCCCATCATATTTCTGTTCCTACAGGCAAACGCCTCTTAACATCCGCTTCATATAGTCATAAATTCTCATTAGTGTACCCACTTCCTTTCCTTCTACTATAATTTACGCTTTCTCCCTAACCCTTGGGATTACTTAAAAGTTTGCATGGAGGTTTTCTAAACTGCAAATTGAAACACCGTTTTTTTTTAAGAATAAGGTGGTCAAAAAGGGTGGACTTGATGGCCTTAGAGGCCCCCTTCCCACTCCTGGGATTGTAGGATTCTTAAAAACCTCCCTGTCTTCTCCAGGCTGGGCTAAACATACTCTCTTCCCTCCGTCGTTTCTCACGTCCACTTCCCGGTTTTTCAGTCTTTAAACTCTGGTGCCCCAAAGGGAAGGTCCGGTCACAAACCACAAAGCAGCGCTCTGACATCCCCTCCATCGGGACCCTCAGGTCTCGGGGATTCCCCCTGCCGTGGTAGTGGACGGGTGAACCCCAGTGACACGGTGGTCGGCTTTGACTCCTGGAAGTGCGTCCACCTCCCAAGCGAGTCTCTGCGGAAAGACACTTGATGCATCTGTCGGAACCAGGGGACGACGCATGCGCTGTATACCATAGAGTGTTGGCTATGATCCACGTTACATATACAGGGTTTTCCTTTTAATCATCTCAGACTGTGGGTAAGTGAATCAGTGAATCCTGATCCCGTGGATAAAAGGGGTCCAAATGCTCTGACATCCCCTCCATCGGGACCCTCGGGACTACGCATGCGCTATATAACATATAGTGTCGGCTATGATCCACGTTACATATATAGGGTTTTCCTTTTAATCTTCTCAGACTGTGGGTAAGTGAATCAGTGGATCCTGATCCCGTGGATAAAAGGGGTCCAACTGTGTTCTGTAAGGGTAAGCTAGGCATGTTGAGCTTCAACTCCCCCAAACCGGAGAGGGGTGGCTGGCGCTGGGCAGCTTTGGCCAGAGAGGATTGGGGCCGGCGGACCCACGTGTTGGCGTCTTAGGCAGTCTTCTGTTCTTGGTGGTTTTCTGCCTCTGCCCCGTCCTTGCAACAGCCCATGAAAGAGGAAATGACATCGGAGTGATGGTGAAAGATATTCTTGCGGTCCTTTGCTCGCCCAGAGGTTTCTTTCTCGTTGAGAACATGGCTTCTCTGAAGATGAGGAAGAGATAGTCGCCGGTCAAGGCAGGGGAGAGATCATTGTAAGGATTATTTGTTGAGAAACAATCGCTGCGGTCCTTTGCTCGCCCAGAGGTTTCTTTCTTGTTGACAACAATGCTTCTCTGGAGATGAGGAAGAGATAGTCGCCGAGAGATCATTGTAAGGATTATTTGTTGAGAAACAATCGCACCCCCATTTGTTAAACAAAGATCCGTCCGGGGACATAGATGAATGTATGCCACCTTGTTTTCCATAGTGGCAGGAACGTGTGCGCTTCTGGCCATGGGAAATCCAGATCTGAGTCCATTTTTGGGGGTTTGGGGACTTTGCCTTATCCAAGAGGACATCTGGCAGAAAACCTTTGGTGCCGAATAAAAGGCCCCAGCACCGAAAATGCCAGGTTAATTGGCCTCCTACCTTGTGTGGCAAACAGACGCGAACACCGAACTTTGTGCCTGTGTAGATTCGCCCTCTGTCCCCGTTTTCTACGTTTCCCGAATCCATCTGTATTTCAGAGGGCAAGACCCCCTTTGTTGTTATTGGTCTGGAATCACGCCTCCGTGGCTGGGAGGAAGCTTCGTGGGGGTGCCACGGAGCTAGTCTTAAAGGGGCCAAACACGTGGCTCCCTTTTCAGCTCCTACCCACCCACCCCTTTTTAGAGCCGAGGCTCTTCCATTTTGGCCCTCCTGGATTACCGCTCCCATCTGTCGCAGTGCGGCCAGGGATTAGGCTACCGTGGGACTTTTTGAAAAGCCCCAAAGAGAGTGTTCTAGAGAGGAGCAAAAGTGGCAGCTCTAGAAGAAGTTACTTCCTGGAACTGCGGTGCCCAGAATCCTCCGTCCAGCAAGCTGGGGTTTGTAGTCCAGAAGCGGCTGTTTTTCCCCCCAGCCAGGGTCGGTGGAACGAATGCATGTAGACGACTCTTGACGTGTGGAGGAGGCACATGAAGAAAGCCGTTTTTTAAATAAAAAGGAAAGAGGAAATCACACGCATCCTGCTTGAGCTGAGACGCTGTTTGGGATTCATGTGCGCAACACAGTCTTAGGGATGTGCTCTGCCTTTCTTGTCATTTGACACACACAAACACGCAGAGAGAGTCTTCTCCCACCCCCTGGCTAGAGGAAGCTGCCTCGTCATGTACAGGCTACAGAACCACCGCAAGCCTTCCGATGTTGCTTTTCCTTCTCAAGCCCGCCCGGCTGTCGGTTCCTGTGCTGTGCTGTCCTATAGCAGGTAAGGGAAATGGGTCTCTCTCTCTCTCTCTCTGGAGCTTGGATCGATCGGTCCCTTCTCCTCCACTTCCTAGGCAACCACCTGCTGGGGCTGGCATCACCGTTTTAAAGAGCTAACAACCGGCTGCCTGTCGGTGGTACCCTACATGGATAGCCCAAGGGTAGAGCCGGCCCTCCTGAATCTTCTGCAGCCTGGTTTTCGCTCTTCTCTGGGATGGGAAATGATCCAGGCAAGCCATTAAAAGAATTCGGTCATCATGTCACATTTGATTTATGTTTTTGGTGCAAAATCCACCCAGAACTGGATCTGGAGGGAGATTTTTGTCCCCTCTTGAGTTTCGGGAACCCTGCCTCCTAGGCTTCAGCCCCTGCCCTGTGCCATTGTTTTGGGTTGCCCCATTATTATTATTATTATTTATCCTTTTAGCGCAAGCGAAAATGGTGGGAGTCAGAAACCTTCCCCAGAAGACCCGCTCAATCGTTGCAAAACTTGAAAAAGTTAAGACCAGACCCATCTCCAGCCGGAAGGGTTAATGAAGGTGTGGCCTAATTTAAATGCCTCTGAGATGCTTTGAAGCACCTTTTAGAATTAACTTTTGAAAGTAACTAGAGAACATCAACTGTTTTTTTTCCCATCCGAGAGTGCTTTTGAAAGATAGCTTTGTTACACCTTCGTAACCGGTGGGACCAACCCGTTACAAGTTGCTTCCCTTCTTCCTCCGTCTGTTCTAAACTGGTTAGCAAAGTGGCCGTGGGAGAGATTAAAAACAAACCAGGATGTACCAGGACAAACCGATAAGGCGCCTGTCGAACCAGATAAGCATACAAGTGACAACAATCTATAAAGGCAACAAAGGAGAACGGTTTAGGTCTCTGGCGGTGGAAGCAGAAGGTTCGGCAATTCGATGCCCCATGGTCCCTTCCAGCTCTGCCCGTCTAAGATTATTATAATTTTTTTTCCCCAAGAAGTTCAACTAATGGAGTTGGGAGTGCTAGCTAGCCCTGTTGGGAGTAGCAGAAAAGCACAGAGGATGTTCCAAAGTTGGGGTGCCACCACAAGTCCACCCCGGCTGAGCTCCTACGTAAGATGATTTATCTGACAAAGAACTAGAGGAATGAGTCGCCATGGGGTCAAACTGGAGATCCGTCAGTTAGTGCCTCATTTAAAAAAAAAGAGATCTCGTGAGATAAAAGACCAGTTTATTCTCGCTTAAGGTCACCTAACCCTGAGGCTTGTTCGGTTCTGTGTTGTGTTTCCCTCTTGGTGGGTCAAAATGGGGACGATTCGCAAATTCGGAACAAATATTGACGTGTGTCTTTGGCTACGTTTCCCCAGGTCGAATGGCTGCGGCGTGGCTCTTCTTGTTGACGTTCTCCTTGAACCTTCTCGTAGTTGGCGGTTTCAGGCTCCCCGCGATAAGCTTCCTCATCCAAGAGGGGCCCCCAGGAAAAGATGTGGGGGCGCACGGACCAGCTGGCAACGAGGGTCCTGCCTTGGCGGCCCCCCAAAAGTGGGAGTGGAAAGCAGCAGCCGAAGGAGATCTCGGACGTCCCTTAGCCTCCCGCAGAAGAAGAGATGGCGGGATGGTGTCTAAAGACTCTACAAATGAACTACCCAAGAAAAGTCTGCCAGTCAAAGCTGAAGATAAGGTTTCTCTTGGGTTGACCTCTGGAGGCAAAATGGCGAAGCCTGCTCCTAATGTCACCACAGCAACTGCCTCCCGAGGCAAGGTCTCTCAAGACGTGGCAGCTTCTGCCTCCGACGGGGTCGCCCATTCCAAGACTCCCAAACAGGCCGTCCCGTCTCCCGCTCAGAAGTCCGGCCCCAACGTTGGCGAAGCCTCCGCTGTAACCAAAGGTGCTCAAGATGGTGGGCGCCATTTTGTTTCCAAAGGCGGTCCAGTTGCAACCCTCAATTCCTTGGAAGTCGTGCTTCCTGGAAGGGAAAATGCCTCCGTTTCTCTTACAGAAGCAGGGGACGTTTCAACCACCACTGAACACTGGCCGTGGCTGCACGACGTGACTAGCGACACCCCTCAGACGTTGACGGAGGGTGAGCGGGTTGCCACGTCGGCCCCGTGGCAGGAAGGGAAGAAAAAGAGAAAGGGTGATTTCAGAAAAGCTGTGCCGAGTCCCACCACAGATGGGTCGTGGATGCACGACTTGTCCACTGCCTCCGCGCTTACTTGGGTGGATAATTTAGATCTTTCCATGGCAACTCATGAGGAGGAAAGAGACACACACCAGCCTATCCCAAGAGCGAAGGGAAGGAGCATTGATTCTCCCAAAACGGTTAGCACAGGTTGGCCGTGGTTAGAGGAGATCTCTATTCCCTCGTCCCAAACTTTGATGGAGGATTACGATGCTTCCACCGTGATTCCAGGGCAAATCTTGGGCACAGAGAAGACTGGCCGGAAGGGAAAAGGAATGGACGGTTCCCGTTTGAGACCCGCCACCACTGGGGGTCCCACGGCAGCCACTAGCAGCACCACCGCCTTGGTGAAACCTCCCCCTGCCGTGTCTCCCAGGGGCCCCCCCGACCTTCTTGGCAAGTGTTTACTGGCCATCCTGCTGCTGGCCCTCGTGGCCGCCATCTTCATCGTGATCACCACCGTTCTCGCCATCATTCTGTGGCGCCAGAAGCGGGCCTCTAAGCGGAACGGCCAGAACCACACCGAGATGGTGTGCATTTCCTCCTTGCTGGCTGCGGAAGAGGCCGAAGAAGCTAAGCAGAGGCAGCCCAAGGCGAAGAGGCTGAAAATGTTGGGGGACAGCAACGGGTTGGAGACGGAAATGGACAACTTGACTCTGAACAGCTTCCTGCCCGAGCATTGACCCAAACTCTTTCAGGACCTGGAAAAGCGCTTTAACTACAACTCCCAGAATCCCCAACCAGCCTGACCCAAACTCTTTCAGGAAAAGCGCTGTAACTACAACTCCCAGAATCCCCAACCAGCTTTCCCACACTCTGTTCTTCCTGGGTTTCAAGCCTCTCTAGTCTACTTGACGGGGAACCATCCAGCGTTCTGCTGTGTTTGATTGAAGCACATCCATGGCCGACGTGCTCTGTTTACGCTGCATGTATGATTGGTTACATGCAGCATTGCTGTCTAAATTCTGCAAAAATTCTGCAAGTCTGACTAGTTTTTCCTCTTACTTTGCATTATCTGTTCAGCCATTGGGGAGCAAGGAAAGGCTGGTGATTCCTGTTTGGAAGGTGTGTGTGTATCCGCTGTGGGTTTTCATCTGAACTTTACAGAAGCTATCCAAGGCTGTGAATCTGTAAGTTAGTGTATGTCACTTTCTGCAAACGTAGCAATGCTGTGCATCCCCTAAGCATCTTTGAGAGCTGTCTGTGAAACCATAAGAGCTAGAAACTTGAGTCATTTTAAATATACATTGAACCCTGCCTTCCAAGAAAGCAACGTTTTTGGCCTGCCTCTAGGTTTTGGGTTTTTTCTTGCCTTCGGGCGTCTTCCCAGCAAAAGCGCTGCTTTGAACAGACGTATCCTAAAACACCATCATCTCGTCAGAGAGAACTGTTTGTCACAAAAGGAGCTAATGAGTCATTCTCCGAAAGCATCAGGCGAAGGATACCATGTCCTTTCACGGCAGTGGGGAGGGAAGGAGGATGCAAGACATAACTTTTCCTCCCTGTGTCAAAAGAGTAAGCCTACGAGCTGCCTTTTGCGGGAGGGGGGGAATAGAGAGGGGGGGAATTAGCCTGTTTCTTTACAGCTCGTGTCTTCCGTTTTGCTCTTACCCGGCAGCACCAGGAAGAAAAAGCCACCACGCACTTCCTTGCCGGCTTCTAGGCGTCTGTTCTTTAGGTATCTTGAAATGTCAGTTATAAACCCCAGAGCTCAGTCCACAGGAGCAGAAAGATGGGGGGCTTGTCAGTTTTTTGTTGCATCGGGGGAAATAGAACAGTCTGACCCCTCTGAAGGTTTTGGTTTCAATGTGCGTTTCCATCTCGATTTTCTTTGGACTGCTAGATGGATGGGAGAGTGGTAAAAAGAAAGGGGGCACAGATCCGAAATATACTGAATATATTGAAATAGAATTGCCCACCATCATGGGGTGGGGTGGGCTGTCCGCTGTCGGAAACAGGAGACTCGGGGTGCGTCGAGAGTGACAAGCTGAAAGATCACCATTTCTGCGTCGGTGGAGAAGGCTGGACCGGTCGTGGTGAGCCCGGAACTGGCTCACATCTCTGTTTTAGGATTTCGGTTCTCCAAATAACCCTCAAGAACAAAACTCTGAAGGGAAGAGTGCGGCTCACTTGAGGGGCCTCCGGACCTCGAGGGCAGAAATGAAAGTTTCTTCGCTCGCTCAAACCTGGAGCAAAAAAAGGGAGGCTGGCTTCTGCCTTTCCTTGCTTCCTCGTGGGTTCCCAAAATAGACCCACACTCCTCTGTGCGTGTGTGTGTGTGTGCATCTCCTGTTCTCTTTCTCCAGTCGTGAACCATCCAAAAGTTTCGAAAGTTTGCCACCGAAAGGGGTCATGAGTCACACAGGGAGGGCCTCTTCTCTGGTGGCAAAGGGGAACGAACCTTCAGGGTTCTGATGCAGGCCGGAGAGACCCCCCCAGGTTTGGAGGAGTCGGGGGGGCTGATTCTTTAGCGGCATCATCATCATCATCATCATCATCACCTCCACAGCTTTTTGTCAGCAGAGTCACAAAGTAGACAGCGCTGCGGGGCTGAAAAACCAAGGACGCCACAAGAACCGCCGCGTCTGGCTCATTTTGCATCCAAAAGTTTCGAAAGTTTGCCACCGAAAGGGGTCATGAGTCACACAGGGAGGGCCTCTTCTCTGGTGGCAAAGGGGAACGAACCTTCAGGGTTCTGATGCAGGCCGGAGAGACCCCCCCAGGTTTGGAGGAGTCGGGGGGGGGGGCTGATTCTTTAGCGGCATCATCATCATCATCACCTCCACAGCTTTTTGTCAGCAGAGTCACAAAGTAGACAGCGCTGCGGGGCTGAAAAACCAAGGACGCCACAAGAACCGCCGCGTCTGGCTCATTTTGCTTTCCGGAACGTAGAGGATGTACAGTATGCACAAGGAATTATTTCGGCACTGAAGAAATTCTGCAATCAGAGTGACTCACAATTGCCAGTCAGTTGCAAGGCTTTGCGAAGCTGTTGCGTCGTCGTGTTTCTGGGTCATGGAAGAGTTTAGCATGTTGTTTTCAATAATAATAATAATTGTCAGAACCCTTGGCAACACACAAAGCCTTTGAGGGGAAAACGGGCTTCAAAGACAGGCTCCTCATTACGTTATCGGCAGCTGCCCTCCTACCCAGAGGATGGAAAAGTTGCTTTTGGGAGGAACTATGACGTGTCCTCCGATGTTGGTTGCCGTCACCTCTTGGCCTGTGTTTCAAAACAACTAATCTGAAGTGTCGCCACGGTCCTGCTTCCAGAATGGTGGAACGACGAAGCCAGTGGCTGAAATAATTCTGAGGAGCCCCAGCTTCCTGATGTGCATGGCAGCAAAGGATCGGGGCCCAGTTGTGTCACGCCCAGTGCCTCGAAGGAGCAGGAGCACAGCAGGGTGAATGGTACTCCTCTTCGGAGTAAAAGGTCTCTCGTGCTAATCTTATCTTCATCCGCAGCCTACAAGATAAGAGTGATGCAGCTGGCCGGTGTGAAAGGATCCAAAATCATTCGGACCGGATGCGCGGGTGTGAAAGGATCCAAAATCATTCGGACCCAGAGCCGAGTTGTGTATTGAGCCGCAGACGTTTAGCATTAGCTAAACCACTTCCATATTGCCAGGGGGTTTATCTTAACCCACACTTTGAGATGTCCCTTCCCAGTGTGGATAATGCGATTACCATTTTCTGTATCCTATTTCACTCTGAACTCACCTCTCCCCCAACTCTTTGTCGTCTGGATGTATTTTCTCTGAGGCTTGGACATTATATTCTCCTATTCTGAAGAAACGGGATTTTACTCTGTGAAAGCTCACCCTAAAATAAATATTTTTGTCTTGACAACACTGCAAGATTGTTTCCCCCTTTTTCCTCTTTTGATCCCGTGCCCTTTTCTCTCTGCAAACAGAAATGTTGCGTCCACTTTAAAACCAAGACATTTATTTCAGTGTCGGCTTTCGTGCCTTGCAGCGAAATAAATTTGCTTGCCTTAAAAGTTTCCAGAGTGTTTTTCTTTAGGACTGTTTTGTGTGTCTTTCTTTTTGCCAAACGCAGAAAGAAGGCCACCTCTTCGGAAATGCCAGTAGACGGTGGTGCTCCTTCGATGCACAAGAGGGCGACCGCACACCAGTGGTGTGTCCAGACCAGTTGCTGTAAGATTGGAGCTTTGAAAAGTTCCAATTTTTGGACCTTGTTTCCCAAAATTCATCCCTTCATCCCCAAGAGCAAACTTTTTAGTTCTCCGGAACAGCCACGTTCCCCAGCTTTGCAATTACTGGTACGTGTGGGTTTATTACTATTACTATTACTATTACTATTACTATTACTATTACTATTACTATTA